TTCGTTGGGCGGAACACCTTTAAGATCAATTCAGACGGCCCCCTGCTCCCGAACCTCTTCCTACTAAGGGGATGCAGGACGAGTCGTGTACGGTTAGTTTAGAGCCTCCATCGAAGGCCGAGGTCCGGAACGCGATCACAGCCCTCAGTCGTCTTCGTGCCGTTGGTATAGAGATGTCAGTTCGCGAGTGAGAGTATGACCTCCATATTTGAAGAGGGCAGGAGTAAGTTCATCTGGGCCAGGTGACTTGTGGTGCTTTAGTAGCCGAAGCTCATTGGAAACCTCAGTCTCTGTCGGTGGAGAAACATCCACACGCCAGGGAGCACTGTGAACCCCGAAAAATAGACTCGGTAGCGCTGCTGGCCAGTTGAATTGATCTTCCAACTGCTCTGCCCATCGTACCAGACGACAGTGACGACTGTGAATTAGTTCACCGTCATTTGCACTCAAAATCTCAAGCACTGTTGGTCTTCTGCCTACCATGAAGCGAATAAGATAGAAAGGTTTGCGGGAGTTTCCTGATGAGGCTTCCCGCTCCATCTCAACGACACGCTGTGTCCACCAAACCCTGTAATCCATCCTAAGGAGCTGTCTGAGCTGAGCATTTATGGTTCAGCGTATTGCGTTGTACTCAAGGCCGGAGGGATTTGTTCTACGACTTTCCATTAATTGGAGAGATGGTGCGGAGATCCAGTGACTAACTGCTCGTCTAGTGAAGATACAGACCAGGGTAGCGGACTTACGTAAGGCGCTCTGGATCTGTATCCAGTGTGTCTCAACATCGTAGGATAGAGAACGTGGGTTGGCGGCTAATGTGTTTTAAAATGCACCGAGAACCTTTAGAATGGCGAACTTGTCCGCGTCAAACTGTTTCTGGCGAAGCTATTGGGTGCCCCCAAAGAGCACAATGAACTTAGTACACACGAGCGCATGATTCGAAGTCAGGTAAGTGTTCCATATTGACTTGAAGTCCGTTATGCAGCCACGCCAGTGGTAACTAACAGCGATGTGGTTACTTTGCGTCCATGATTGATCAGGTGCCTGAGGTCGCCACTTGGCTAGTTGGCACCAGGAAAGTCGGAACTTGGTGCCAGAGAGGAACCATCTGTGATCGGCGCACAGTGGCAGGAGTCGATGGCCGTTGTCGATCCTGCGAATCCCGTGGCTGTGTTGACCCCTAAGTTTGTGCTCATGAACCTCTAGTCTACCGACCTGCGCATTTAAGTCATTGGCGAGTATCACGATGTCCTTGCGGCGTTTCTTGCAGAGGAGGTAGGTGTGTTGACAGTAAGACTCGTCTTTAGCTTCTTCCGGGACGCAGTCAGTTGGAGTATACGCCGTTGCTGGAAAATCGCACTGAGCTTTCCAAACAGACTGCACAAAGACGACTGTTGACCTGGAACCTGTCAATGAGCGCTACCTCAGCACGCGCTTAACGCAACTCCTAAACCGGCGATACCAGAGGCTGCCACTGTCGCATCTCCAGATGAGCGCAAGGTGCATGTGCAATTGAAACTTGGGGAGGGAGATAGAAATTGCAGCGAAGTACTGGAGTCTTGTAAACGGGTTTCGGTTAGGCAGCAAATGTCGACTGCGAGGGTTTCCGTGGTTCGCGCAAGAGCAGCTTGTGAACCTATCTGCATGATCATGCGAACATTGAACGTAGCCAGCTTGAAGAACGAGCGGGGTGCATTAAAAGCCTTGCTGTTGGTACTGGAATGTGTGCGATGGATTTTGAGCGGTTCATCGCGGAGGCCAAAGGTACCGCTTTTATTTTCAATGCACTTTTGGAGACTCGAAATTGAACAGGGGTTGCCAAGAACAAGAGGGTTGAATAAACATGGAACGAAGGACGTGGTTTACGGTGCGTTGTAGTGTGGTTTAGCATGCCCGGCCGCCAGCACCCCGGCCAAAGAGAGAGAACGAGTTCAGAGATCGAAAGACTTGAGCAGAGAGTTGTAAATCCATTATTTCTTGTGTTTTGTGGGCTTACAGCTTATCGGTTGTCCAGACCGAGGAACGAGGTTGACTTAGAGGGCCCCACCCGGAGCCTTTGGCCACAGGGACCTGACTCGCAAGGCAGCGGGAGCCGGTGACCGATTGCTCGGTTCATACATTTTTTTCGCTGTCTGTCAAACAGAAGCCCAATACTTCTAGTAAATCAGCGTCAAGCTGTGAGTACAGTGCTCCAAAGAGGTGAAACAAGGCGCGGTGACTTGAGTTAGTGGCGAGTCACATGATCCACGTCGCAGTGTTGTTAAACGGACACGTGGCTTTTTATGGGGTGGACGCATGCCAAGCGAAAACCCAACAAGTCCTGGAAAACTGCCGCCGAACGTTTCACTGGAACGGAGTAGTCCCAAAGCACCCAGCTGGCATCACGAGGAGGTAGTTTCGTAGATAGGTACTTTCGCCCTAATAGAGCTAAACGGGATACCTTCACAATGAGAAAGGACCTGAACGTGCTGTGACTGTTTTCTTACATCGTGGACCCAGTGAACTCGACCACTGGGTATCCACGGGCCCCTTAAAAGCTACTTTCACTAGATCGGGCAATGGTTACAGGTCAGAAAAACTGTCTCCTAGTCCTCCAGATGTGAGGTTTGCAATAGGCTTGTGTACGTTTCTGAAAAACTAACTCTTCGTCACCTACCTGATGCCCGGCGGACAGATCAATGGGCCAAATGCTGGATGAGGACTCTGATCGGCTTCCTGTCTAGGTATGGGCGCCCTGGTAGTGTCTCAGCCTACCTACAAAAATGACTATTGCTTCAAACTTTAACCACATCCTGGATCGGCCGTCGCGCACCTTATCAAGGGTTGCCTTAACTCCTGCATACAGCAGAGTGGATTAGCGAAAACATGATACTGCTTGGAACTTCCTTCTTTCCTACCCACCTTTATCTCTTACTCTCTTCCCAACCCCCGTTACTAACCTACCTTCCATAAATCCCAGCTTAACGAACAGTTGCCAATGTGCCACTTCAATTCAACCATCTACAGGTACCTTCCGGCACTGGAGGACTATCGGCAACAGTCCCTTATAAGACCACGCTGTCCCGCTTCCCTGGCGGCGTACAACGTTTGAACTCTTAGACAAATAGGTCAACAGGCTGCTCGCGCACGCGAACGCGCGTCGGACACACTGGGTATTGACGCGTACCGTGCATGCGAAATTAAGATCAGTGACCCTCACGGTTTGTCTTCTCACTATTGGTTGCACGCATCGGGAGACGCTGATGCTGCAACTACGGGTCAAGCTGGAGTAGGGGTCGTTCTCGGCTCCAAGGCTGGATCACCTTTTGTGAATTGGATTTCCGTGAACAGCCGTTTGTGTGCAGCCCGTTTGCTGACAGCAACTAAGGTTGCTTCACGAAGCGGTACAAAACGCTTTTGTTTATTGTTTCCCCGTGTGTCCCCCCCAACTGCAGCTCCCATGTTACAAAGAACACATTCTATCACAAACTTAACACGCTATTACTCGGCGCTATCAGTTTAGATGTTATGGTACTTGCAGGGGATATGAATGCCCTACTGGGTCGCCTTGGATCTTCAAAAGTTCAGCTAAGTCGTAAATATGGGCTAAAATCCGAACGGACGGACAACGGCGAGCGTTATTTGTAACTGTGCTCGAAGCACCGGTTATTTCTTTGTAGCATTGCCTCTTGACACTGAGGGCGCCGAAGTGAAACTTTGTGTCCCCGTGTAGCTGGTCACCGATATATTCAAATAGATCAGATGGTCATAAGTTACAAGTGATGTGTTTCCATCCTGGATTAGGGCTCGTTCTGGACTGATTGCGTCAAATCTCATCATTTCTTGGTACGTTGTCATGTTTCCGTGATGTAGGGGTGTACACCCATCCGGTCAAGATCGATCCTTGGACGCGGATCTGTGGGGTCACGGTGTAGGGGTCAAAGAGCTTGAGCATAAACACTGCAGACGACGTCTGCAGCAGACGTCGATGCACACACGCACAGAGAACATGAGAGATCATTAAATGTCCACGGAGCCGTAAAGTGCAGTGACTGTGAGTCAGGAGCAATTTTTACATTGCAATCCTACTACATATAATCATTCTACACATACACCTTTCTACAAACCTTTCCACATACAAAATCCCTCTATATATCATCCTTTTACAAATAAACCATATTTGACGGGCATGCCGAACATCGCGAAATTAGATGGACTATTAGACTTTCCTCTTGATGCTAAACGCTCCTCAACCGCATGACGGAGTTCGATGCGAAACTTAACTCACCTTCTACACTGAAACAATTTTGATGTTAATTTTAATTTTTCCTCCTGTGTGTCTTGTAATGTCGTGCTAGTTATCCCATTACATATAACCGAACTATTATGTCACACTAATTTCCGCTTCCTTCGGTTTGCTGAGGCTGCCGGTATAAGCCGGATTAAGCCAGCATAGTGTGTTCCGAAACAATTATTTGTCAGCCTAAAGCTGCCTTGAATGTAGGTGTGAAATTCCGTCATTCTTCTGCACCTTAAGCTTGTCTGGTTGCACCCACTGTTAGCTATATCTATGCATATCGTTTATTGTTAATGATACTGAGGAGGAAATGTATACATCTACCATTCTTCGTCCTCTTTCCGTGATTTTCCAATTGTTGTAGGGAACTAACTGTTTTAAATTTGAACAGTCATTATTTAAACCAACATCTCGTATGGCGACCCATGCACAGTAACTCTTCACATGTTCAAGTCAAGGAGATTGGATTACTAATTAGTGGCCAGAATACAATTAACAAAGGTTGACATTATATTTAAGTTCTGGTTTCGTAGGACTAGCATGGTTAGCACTCAAACAATGAAAACTGGCGACCTAGAGAAGTGGTCATGCTATAATGGTGATCAATTCCAGATGTTAACAGAAACGTCACCGTGATGTCACCTAATGTTACTTCCGAACATGACTAGACACCATCAAATTTAAAGTTGGTAAAGATATGTCGGATGCTCTTCGGTTCCTCTTGTAGACACCCACCAATTGGATAAGTGCGCGGATATTGACGAAGTTTGCTCACGTTTCTACGATGACAAAATGCCTTGTTGTTGGCCCTATCGATGTCAACAAGTCGACGAAAACCGTGGAGTTTGTGTGAGGTGTATCAAATCCAAGGAATTTTGTGTGGACGACAGCGAGTGCTGTACCAAGAGATGTGGTGAATATCTGTGTGCTTGAGACCTGAGTTGTACACAGAAATGAGAAATATTGATACATACAAGATTTTTCTTTTGGCCAGAAATTTCTATGTTGCTAGGGAACGAGTTAAATGCCAAGAACACCATTACAATGACAGAGCAAGTATTCTCTAAGTTGTACCAGAGCCATGCTAAATATAAGTCAAACCAAATGGAACAATGGAACAATGGTTTATTACGGGTAAAAAGGCATCGTTTAAAAAGTCCCGTGGGATGGAACTTATTGCGAAAATCAATTGCATAATAAATTGAAAAGCGTTGTGGTGGACTCACCATAGACTTATGTGGAATAGCGGAGATGTTCGCGTATTAAACGATTAAATCCACCAATCTATTGGTTAGGCGTTTGGCAAGACACCGTTTGATTGCGTTTTGTAGCCCATGGCTAACAAGTCATAAAATGAAATGTAAGTGAGACAATTTATCGTCAACACGTTTTATCAATATCGCCAGATTGGGAACAGAGACGACATAATTAGGGAGGGCGTTCCAAGGCTGACACTCGCGGAGAGAAAAGCAATTTCTATGGCATTCAAGCCGGCTATAATGAATTGTCAGTTTCAGAGGGTGACCTCTTAGTTTAGTGTTGGGGTTCAATTCCAGCAGCAGACGGCAAATGTGGTTTGGGTTCTTCAGAATCTGGTAAACCATTATGAGATCCCCCCACAAAACCTGATATCGACTACTGTATATTCTTAGAGATTTCAGTCTAAGCTGATAGGGCAGATGAAAGAGGACCCTGACGTTCTTGGTTGCTCTTCGTTGAGGAGTCTCGAGAGCAACGAGATCCTGTTTCTGCTACGGCTGCCACGCCAGAATAGCATATTCCAGATGAGGTCGCACGTAGGCGTTAAGAATTTGGGGAAATATTGAAGGTTCAAACCGACCGAAGGCTCTGCGAAGAAGGCCGAAGTGTTTATCTCCGGTTCTCGTCGCCTTCTCTGCTTGTTTTGAACACCCGAGATCTTCCTGTACCAATACACCCAGGACACGTTCCTGAGAAACCTTCGCCAAGGTGTGGTCTACAATATTGTAAGCGCTCACCGGTTGGTGACGCAGATGTATCACTTTGCACTTAGCCATGTTCAATTGAAGCTTGTTTCTCTTTGACCATTCGTAAATGCAATCTAGGTCATGTTGGAGCAGATCCTGATCTGGCTTGTTACTAACCGCCCGTCATATCTTGATTTCGTCGGCGAAAAGCAGGAAATTTGAGGAGGTGACTCTTGCCAGGTCGTTGATAAACACCAGGAATAAACGCGGTCCCAGCACTGAGCCTTGTGGGACACCACATTCCACCTCAGTTGGGTTAAAAAGTGATACCCTAAAACGTACTTAAAGCTTTCGTTGGTAAAGGAAGTTGCCAATCCAACCAAGTACAGGATCTACGATTGCGTAACTTTGTAGTCTTTGAAGTAGGATACGGTGATCTAGGCGGTCGAAAGCTTTGGAGAGGTCCAGATAGATGACGTCGACTCCGACCCTATCATCGGGCACTTCCGTCCAACTACCTCGTGCAAAAAGTAGGTTGGTGGTGCATGACCGGTGTTGACGGAAGCCATGCTGTTCCGGTACCAAAATGTTGTATTTTTCCAGGTAGTCCATTAAAGCATCAGCGACGACTGCTTCCATCACCTTCGCGAACACAGGGAGGAGAGTCACTGGACGATAGTTTGCAGGATCGGAACGGCTACCGGCTTTAAAAATAGGGGTTTTAGGGCCACATTTCCACATAGTGGGGACTTGTTGTTCATCAAAGCACCTTTGAAAGAACTGTGACAGTGGTTCAGCTAGCTTGGTGGCCGTAGGCTTCAATGCCTTCGGGCGGATGCTGTCTGCTCCTGGAGAACTATGCTCACGCATTCAGAGTAACTTCCTTAGCACAACTGATGGATTGAAAATAACATTTGTACACAAAGGTGTCGGTAATGTGCTTGATATTTTGAGGCAGGTAGATGTTGCGAGCTCAAATATTGGGGCGTATAGCAGCTGCAGGGCATTAGCTGCATCTGCGGCGCTTTGTACTCTACCGCCTGTCGTGAATAGTGGGGGTATTCCATACTCCACATTACGAAGCTTATTAACATGCTTATATAGCAGTTTGTTGTTTGCCATGAATTTTTTGGCTAGGCACTGTTGATAAATTACTTCGTCCTCACGGACAATTGCAGTGCAATGGTTGCGATGGGTCAGGCAATTTCCCCAAGTCTCTGAGTCGGGGTTAATCTTGTAGGCACGCCATGCTGCCTCCCTTATCGCCAGGCATTTTCGAGTCCTACTCCTTAGAATTGAAGGCATTTTTGCGGGACGAAGAGGCTTGGTCTCTGATGATTTGTTGACGATGTCGCTGGGTCTGTTAACGAACTCTGCTCAAACGTTTATCAAGCGGACTTCTGTTTGTGCATTCCCAAGCAGCTGCGTCGGCGAGTTCTTTCAATACGTGGTAGCGTGTGATTGTACGAGTTAGTTTAGTGTGTTCAGATGGATACTCTGCATAACACACATAGTCAAAAGTTAGTACTACATGGTCACTGAGACCCAATGGACTATCCATCAATAACTTGTCAATCATGAGCTCTTCATTTGTGAGCACAAGGTCCAATATGGACGGTTTGTTTGCTGTCCTGAATCTAGTGGGCGTGGTGACGTGATTGTACAAAGGGATATTAGCGATCAGTTCACGCAAGTCTGCTTTGAACTGCTCACTGGGCGATGCCAAAACCTCCAGATTGTGTAGATTGAAGTCCCCGGAGATGAGAGTGTGGCTGTACCTAGTGCGTGTTACTCTGTTTAGGCCACGGATCAAGCAGGAATCTATTTCCAGATTGGACTTTGGGGGGCGGTAAACGATAGCTATGAGACATGTATCGTTGTGTCTGAGTCGGATACGGCACCAGAGTGAGTCGGTAACGTGTGTTTCCAGGTCCTCAACTATTGTACATTGTAGATTGCTGCGGTAGTAGAGTAGGACCCCACCTCCTCTGCTGGGGCGGCCGTTCCGGATGAGTGATACTCCAGCTATCACAGCCTCAGCATCAGCCACCTCTTGATGTAACCAAGTTTTGGTAATAGAAATTAGGCCCCAAGCATTCGCAACCTGACGCAGTCGAAGTTCGTTAATTTTACTGAGGAGCCCTTGGGCGTTGGTGTACATACATGAAAGTTTCTCAGATTTAATCATTGTTTCAAAAGTTGCGCAACTCATACGTGAAGTTTCGCCGACCAGTGAGTGGCCGGCGACTGGATGGGTGGATGAAGCAAATGAGTTTGCGCCGACCATTAAAGGGTCGGCGACTAATCGTCTTTTGGATGGGTTGCATACTCTCGAGAAGTATTTGATATATAAGCAGGTATCAGATGCTCTGAATCCCGGTGTTTGCTCTTGCTCTGCTCTGTTTGTTTGTTTGTTGTTGTTTTTTCTTTTCTTCTTTTCTTGCCTTTTGTATTGCGGCACAATAGCTGAGGTGTTTTCCACCTCCAGCTAATGTGTAATGATGATGATGATGATGCTCTGCTGTGCCCCTCCGGATAGTATGGCTACTCTTGAAACTGTCTCCGAGTCGGGTTCTTCAGCTGGCGTTTTCACTAAGTGTTTTGCCTCTACTGAATTGTCATTGTCTTGCTGCTTTCAGACGAATTTCTGTTAGCAATCTGCAACAGAATTTAACCCAGTTTGATAGTACGGTTGATGCCATTAGTTCTGACTGTAACGCAAGTTTTAAGAGCCTGGGACCGCACCCATTATAGTTTATTGATATGGGGGTCCTTTTCAACAAGGTGACAACCACATTTTTGAGAGAAAGTGCCTCCCGGATGTAGTGCCATTGCTCGCGGTCGTGCATCTGGACATCGTCGGCAGAGGAGTCAGTAAGCTCAGGAACACCGTGAGCAATCACTGTTTTCTTATCTTGACTTCTTCTGTAGCTATCATTTTTAGCAGGATTCCCTGAACGTTCTTTCCACGGGATTTCGGGTAGTATGCGCACTCCAGTTGAGCCGTTGCGGAGACGATTCGCAGACAGCAGAACGGCCTCAGTCCCGTCCGTCGAGTTTAGTGCTACCCGAAGTAACCGGGGTTCGCCGTAGTGCAACGCGTTTGGGTGGCGCGAGATTCTTCTTAATGTCGTGGGATTAGCATGGACACCGATCGACGTACAGATGGAACCCCTGATTTCGATCATCCGTCAACTTACTCTTAATTGGATTGGATTTGGATTCGGGGACATTTGTGCATAGAAGGTTTAGGACACCATGGTTGCGCCTGGTGGCTACTGATTTTGCATTTGGAGGTTTAGTATCTGGTGCTTTGTTGAATTTGTGAAAGACATTGGTGTGTGCCATCCGTGCTGCGCCACTTTAATTTTCTGTAGTCCGGGCACAAAGGTTACCGGTGTTTGCTTGGCGGCAACCGATGCGTACGTTGCCAGGTTGTTCACTATGGCTGCTTGACTGTAGCTTACAGTCTCGAGTGTAGCGAACAGACTACTAGGTGTAGCAAACAGTACAGAAGTTGAGGCGGGCGCGCTGCAGGCACTGTTTTTACTTATAGGAGGGAGACAGAATGGAGTTGTTACTGCTGGAGGCTGAGTCGTTTGGGTTGGGTTGGGACGCCTGGCTCGCTTCTTCGGCCTGACTTGGGAGTTTGGGGTGTCATTTTCGCTCACAAGTGCAGGTCCGTTTTCTCCCGTTGGTGTAACTCTGGCGCTCACCAGTTGCTCCACCGCTTCGGTTAGTCTTTCACACCTCTTCAATAACACAGCTAGACAGCTAACAAATGGAATAGACTTGCATACTTGGCAGAACCAAAACGCCTCTGCGGCGTTTGCTTTCGTCGACCCCTTCCAAAGACAGGATTGTGATAGGTTTCCAAACACATGGTATACACCAGAACACATTTTACCACTTCGGCCAGATGAGTCACGCGTTCTTTGGGTTGGATAGGCGATGTGCGTGCTATCGATACAAACGGTAGTGGGTAGGCAGTGATGCGACGTAGGACTGAGGC